ACAAATACCAAACAACAATGGCAACAAAGGCGAAATATGTTGTCCTGAGTTGCCGGTAAGCACTAGAATTCTTATTTCAACACATTCTGTCGTCTGGAAGAATCAAAACTAGTTAACCAAATTGAGCAGTAATGATCACAGTACTTAAATGAAATCCACAAGACCATGGCCGACATCCCCTTGTCACTGCAGCAATCTTCCCAAAGAAGTCACCTTGGAACTGATAAGCCCAGCTCTGCAGCCACAGAATATGAATAAATAAGAAAAAACGGACTTCGAACATCGGTAGAAATTCTACTGGGAATGAAGTCCAAAATGCAATATGACTCGTAGCGTATCTCAGTCAATGCAATTGATGCAGCTATCTAGTTCTACAGTTGCAAAGAAAACCATACAGTAGAGTCAACAATGCCAACTGATACATGATCCTCGGGGTAATATAGATTTTCAGATAGTTGTTCGGTAAGATTAATCGAGGTATGCAGAAATTGGAATGGGAAGAAAGGAGTAATGGTTTCATTACATTTACAGTAGGTAAATCAAAGGTACCCAGAACTAACATCTACATAACCTTTACACATCACTCAAAAGTGACATTTCTAGATTAGTGAAGCATAGAGTGACTGACCCACCTTCAAAAACAGCAAATATGTCTCACGTACGATCAATTGCATCTGGGGCAATGAGAAGTTATGTCATATAGATTATTTGATAAAAGAAATTAATGGGTTGAATGATAAGAACAATCATAAGATTATTTGTGAGTCACAAAAATGATGTAAACAAAAATGATGCAGATCACCGAACATACGAAGCTTTGTTCACAATAAACTAAGACTATGGACTGGACTGGATCATCCCTTTACTCCAATGTAACGATCTCCATGAGAATAGAACAGACTCTTGTCGAGATAATTTCTTTTTCAGGATGATGATAACTAGAGTGAAGCTGATTGATGGGCAAACCTAATTTGTCATTCCATTCTCTTAAATTTGGAGGTTTATTTTCAAGTAAAAAGTATTCTAAGAGAAACTCCTAAGATTTAAAGATTCAGGAATTGATTACTACTAAATGAGAAAGTGTGTGACTCAAACTTTTCATAAGGAAATTAAAAGTGGCGCCAACCCACCACTGACAGAGACCACTAGTTCCAAACCGTGATAGAAATCTGAATATCATCGACATTTTAGGACTACTATGAGATGATTAGTAATGTACTTGTAATCGATTCACTGCACCATAATCAGAAGGCTCCATAAACTTCCAATCTATTTCTTTATGCATCATAATCGATTCGCATATTGACATTCGATATTATGTGCCTGCAGGAACCAAATACTCCAGTCAGTTTCAAGGTCCCCAGTCAACAACCAAAGTCTTTCTATTCATTCAATCCTTATCGTTCTACAACTAATTTTACTTGAGAAATTGACCAATCGAACCGGGGGGACAAACGTTGAAACCAATAAACAACGAAACTAGATACTGAACACAAGGACCAAACCTACGATGGTTTTACTTCCTGGGATGGTTAACTTTGAAATTCTTGCTTAGCCTCCCATCTTCTACATAAGTTGATCGACAACCTCCTAAAGTATAGGTAACAATCCAGTATTCTAAACTTCCAAACTAAAATTGCACCAATTTATAACAGAATGACGTCAAAGAAAACCCCCGAGAATATCAAATGTGTGATCACGGAATATGGTTTGATACTTCCTACATAATCTCCAAGATTTTCGGAACAATACACCAATGTCCAAGACAACAAGAATCAGCAAATACCAACACAAGGACACTGAAAGACAACTATAGCGCAAGAAAAGGAAATGTCCGCAGATAATGCATAAAAAAGCTACTCACACTTCAAAAGGAAGTACAATATTTCATGTTAGAGGCTGGGAGAGGTGCAGCAGAGAGTACCCTGAGAAAGCGCACGACAACTCCTCGAATTTGTACTCAGACACGAAATCATTCTCGCTCCAGCAACCGCGTTGTGAAAAGGCAAAAGAGATTGCACGCATCCCAGCTCCGACGGGGCCCTAGTAGTAGATCAAGAAGTTTTGAAAAAAAAAAAACAAACAAAATATTGAAACAACTCACAACAAGATACACAAAACAAGAAGAAATGAATGGATAACCAGATTTACCTGGCGAGCGAGAACCGGCGAACAGATGGTGCAGTGCAATTGAAAGGTAAAGTGAACGGAGAAGATGAAGCTTTGGGCGGCGAATTTGTACGAACAACTGTTCTGATGGAGGATTGAGAGATTCTGCTCGCAATTCTTCGGCAAGCGGAAGCCATGAAAGAAGATGAGAGATCTGTAAATTCTGCAAGAAACGACTGACCTGAAAGGGGTTAAGGGTTTTAGAACTGTAATAAAATAAAATAAAATAAAATAAATTTCATTTAAATTTTGAAAAAAGAAAAAAGAAAAAAGAGAGACATGGGCTGGGCTTTCTAAATTGGTTTGGCCCAACCCATCTTCCTTTGTACTTTGCATTTCAAGGCCCTAAACCCATTTAGTTTCCTATTTATAATTCTTTTCCATTAATTTTTTATTTTCTTTCATTTTTATTAAAATTCAAAATTGAGTAAAATTAATAATATGGTAAAAAAAATATTATTAAACTTTCCACTTTATTTCAAAAATAACTTGAACTTTCAAAATTTTCAATAATACTCCTATCGGTTTAAAAAATACCTTTAATTTTTTTTAAAAAAATTTAAAATTACTTTTAAACTTTTCTTTTAAATATTAAAAAATACATTTTCCCCATTTCAAAAATATTCATGAACTTTTAAAACTTTTAAAAATAAGGTTAAAAGGTTCGGAGATAATTTATGAGATGTCGAAAGAAGGCTTTCGTCCAGATTTAAGAATAAAAACTTTTTTTTATAAAAATAAAATGTGTTAATGCTACTTTTAAAATTTAACGGTTATTTTTTAAACATAGTACTAACAGTATTTTTTAATTAAAAATAAAAATAAAAATGAGTAAAAAAAAGCATTAATGAAGCTTATTATTTTTTTTAATATTATTTAAATAAATATAAAATTTATGAGTATTTTTATTAATTTAGCATTTACCGATTTCTGATTTTTTTATTATTATATTTCAATTCATCTGCCAAAAAAAAATCAAAATTATGATTAATTATTAAAAAAATATTAATAACGAGTTTTTACGGCTTAAACTCGCATTAATGTGAATGAGACATGTATCACATGACATACTCTAAGAACACGTACATCATAAATAATATGAACGACATTATTGCAAGTAATTTTTATACGACAATATTCATAATCTAAGCATGTGACCACGTACCCATACATACATTAATAATAATGGAGGACCCATAAAATATGTAACGTGTCATGTATTTAAGCTTGCAACATGTTTCATTATTTTGTGGGGTAGACTCCTTTGAATGAACTTCACTTTAACTCTCGGGTTTCTACAAACAAAGGGGTTGTCCTCTTGATCGAGCTCAATTTCGATTTAGTATCCTATTTATTAAGGACGGGCAATGTGAACTCTGATTTGATTCCACAGATCTAATCGTTTGGGTCCGCTCTTATGTAGCTTAAGTATTAATTGTGAGAACATGTACCACCATTAAATGTGTGACCTAAAAAATTAATTGTGAGATCCCATATGGACTGAAGAGGAGAACAAAACATTCCTTATAAGGACGTGGAAACCTTTCTCTATCAGACGCGTTTAAAATCATGAGACTGACGATGATACATCACGGGTCAAAGCGGATAATATTTGCTAACGGTGGGTTTGGGCTATCACAAATGGTATCAGAGTCGGACACGGGTAGTGTGCTAGCGAACGCTAGCTCCCAAAGGAGGTGGATTGTGAGATCCCACGTCAATAGAGAGAGGAAGGAAACATTCCTTATAATGGGTGTGAAAATCTCTCCCTAGTAGATACTTTCTTGGATTATGAAAATGATAATAATAATAATATATATATATATAAAAAAGTATTAATTTTTTTAAATAAATATTTAATTACTTGTATTTAATAAGTTTCTGAATTAAATAAAAAAAATCAAATAAATCCCTATAATCTCATATTTAGATCTCTTACCATATTCAACCATTTTCAATTAAATAAATTTATTTATTATAATTTCTTTTATTAGACATAATAAATTTAGCAACTTTTAGAAATAATAAAAAAAAAATTAATAATTTTTAAAAATGTATGAGCTAAACTAGAAATTAAAAATTAACCATTTATTCAATTTATTATTATATAGACAAAACACAAATTATAATTTAATTTAAGAAAAAATTTAAAATTCGTTAAATTTTCAATTTTATTTTTTAAAAATTTCAATTTAATTTACATGACTGAATTAAATATTTTAAAAAAATGTTAAATATATGAATTTATTTATTTGTCGGTTAAGAAAAAAAAATGAAAAATGAGGGTGAAATCTCAATTTTGCCCTCAGGTAAAATGGAAAATTACCAAAAGGGCGTCGGCAATATTGGACTGCCGTCAGTCAGGTGGGTGAGTGATCTTCATCGGGTTTCCTTTTCCTTATAAGGCGGACTGAAAAACCCATTTCTCCTTCCTCCCGTTTCCAGTTATCGATCGCCTTCGCTTGAATCACCATTTTCACTTTCATTTCTCTTCAATAATTTCAATTCCCTTTGTAAATCCGCCATTTTCCCCCATTTTCTCTGCTCTAATGTAACCCATTTCGGAATTCCCACCATTTTCTCTGCTCCGATTCAATCCCACGCTCTGTTCCGGCCGATCACGATTTCTTGGGTTTCTACTTGAAGTTTAGCGGCCACAGAGCCCCAATTTCCATACCCTCGTGCTCGCATTTGCATTTGCATCAACATTCTTTGCGTCATTTGTCCCTTTCTCATCGATTACGGTTTGTTTTTCTCTCGCATTGTTCATAAACTCGGAACATTCGGGGATTTCGAGTATGGGTTTTGGTGTTATAATGCGTGTTTGATTGTTCTGGAGGTGGGTTTCATTGGGCGTGGCGAAAGCTTGGAGGTTTTGCTTGATATCAGCGAACCTGGCTCTGTTACAGCCGCAGAGTAGTGGGAATGGCTATGCTTTTAGTAGCAAGAATGTACTGTCGAGATCAACGGGGGCGACATCGGCGCAGAGGAAGGCGACGTTTTCTTGGTCGATGTTGTGTGGTTTGATGCTCTTTGCGTTGGGTTTAATTTCGTTGTTTACGGGCCATGTTGCTTCTGATCTTGAATGGTACTCTCAGCACTTAGTTAACAGGAGGCTCTACTCTAAGCTGGTAATTCTAGTCTGTTTATCTCTGCGCGTTGTGTTTGTCATGGGAAATTGTGTGGGGTTTATTCTAAACATACTCGTTGGATGAGCGGATTAGTTCAGCGACAGTTCACTGAAGTTCATCATTGATTTGAATTTCTAGGAGGAAGCTCGTCGTAGGGCGATCAATATCTGGGAGTCTAAGCTTTCGAAGAACTATTATGGATGCAGCAAAAGAAGCCCACGTTTTGCTTGTAAGTTGACACAGACAATTACAATCCTTCTCTGTTGGATTTTGACGTTTCTTTTGTAATTGGGTGTTCTTATTTTGAGAAGTTTGTTCATTTTGTGATCTCATTTCAAAATGCTTTGATTCCTTGAAGGTGTCAATTTGGAAAGCTGAAATTCCTATTAAGGCTTTTAGGAGAAGGGTTTAATTGATAATGGCTACTATGGCGTCTGTATGTCTGTTAATTCCTGAAGGATTTTTTGGTATAGGTTACCAAGAAAATTATATATATAGATACCACTTGTCACAATTACACTTTTCTTGGCAACGGACTTTGCGATTGTGCGGCACTCACTTCTCAATAGAAAGTGAGTTAAGCCAATTTGTATTCGCGTCACCTACGGCCAGACAATGTAAGCTCAAGCCTCTAGCCCCGATTTGAGAAGAAGGTTTTAAAAAACGGGGGCAAAGAGATTTTGAAAGAGAGTTTGAAAGCAAGGTTGAGTGAGAGATTGAAAACGGTGTTATATAGCATGCAAGCAAAGACAACAACGACGACTATAACTTTTCGGGTAGGGAGAATTAGACAACTAGTCACATCCCCCTATACTGTAGTACATTTTGAGGCGATTCAGTTCTGGCAAGCCAAGACGTGATTTCGCCGAACGGTCATACAAAATTATGGGAGAAATCATGTCTAGGCTATATATATATATATAGTTAAGGGTTTATTTCTTTATTATACCTCTATATTTTTCGTGATTACCTTGGGTTCTTTGGACTGCTGGCATAATGCCTCTATTATCTTGGCTACTAGTTAAATATACAAACAGAAAGGGGACGGTAATGCTTTCTTTTCAGGTATGGTTATCTTCATGCCACCCAAGTTTTTATTTTTCTGTGTGTGGCATTCTTTGTTCAAAATATTAGGTGTCTACTTCTTACCAAGAATCGCCTATCTACGTTTCCGTACTCTCTACTTTAATCGCCTGCTAATTTTTCGTCATGTGCAACGAAGAAATGGGATGATTCTAGTTCTGTTTTGCAAAATCTTTTCAAGGAACATCTAGCTTTTGGTGGACTGTATTAAGAATTTAAACTCCTCGATCTATGGCATGGTCATTAATTTGTTATTCAACTGATTAGCATTTGACAGACCGTTCATTCTGTTGATATGTCTAGAATCTGATGTGGGTATTAACTCCGTTTCAGCTGCTGTTAAGGAGAGGTCGTCGAATGGCTACTTGCTTATTGCAACCAGTGGAGGCTTGAATCAGCAAAGAACAGGAGTAAGTGATTTCCTTTCTTTCTTTCTGTCTTGGAATGTAGAGTGGAAAATATAATGGCTAAATAACTTTTTATACCTTATCATGATCGAGTTACATATTTGTCTATCAACGTTAGGTTCCAAAAGGTTCTTCCGTCGAAATTTTCCAGTTATTTGTTATCTTCAAAGTTAATGTGAATGCATTTCTTTTTCTTAGATAACAGATGCTGTGGCGGTTGCCCGTATCCTTAATGCTACCCTTGTGGTACCTGAATTGGATCATCATTCCTATTGGAAGGATGATAGGTATTTAAAGAAGATTGGCCTCTTGAGTTGTTGCTTTAACCTTTTTCCTAATATTTTCTATTTTTAATGATATTATCTGTTTATGATTGTTTATGCACATCCGTCTTGGCGTGCAGTGGCTTTGTCGATATTTTTGATGTTGGTTGGTTCATTTCCTCTCTCTCAAAAGATGTGACTATTGTTAAGAGAGTTCCTGATAAAGTTATGCGTGCCATGGAGAAACCTCCCTATACCATGCGTGTCCCTAGAAAATCAGAGCCCGAATACTATCTTGATCAAGTTTTGCCTATACTTTTAAGGAGACGTGTAAGACTGCTTCACTAACATTTGCTAATGCATTCAGAGTCTTTTTTTTTTTTCTTTCTGAAAGTTAATCGTTTCATACGTTTTTGCGCACCACTTTAAGATGTTTCTTTGTAAAATGCACAAGGTTTGGTACTCTCGTACTTTCGACCTGAAGTACTCATGTTGACATTAAAATATCAGTGTTGCGGTTGATTTCTTGCCATATTGAAATTTTGGTTTTATGTCATTACTAAAGCGAGAAATTCGTGATGTAAATCTGCAGGTTGTCCAGTTGACAAAGTTTGATTATAGACTTTCGAATATTCTCGACGAAGATCTACAGAAGCTGCGTTGTCGAGCGAATTATCACGCTTTAAAATTTGTGAAACCTATTGAAGATCTTGGTCACAAACTTGTGAAGAGAATGAGAAAGATGGCGAAACGTTACATTGCCATTCACTTGAGGTTTACTCTCCCTTACCTTATTTAGAATTTTGTTCATATATTTTGCAAAACGCCACTTGGTCCTTCCCTGTAGTTTTGTTCAGTATGTGCAGCATCAGTCATCTTCTAATTGTTTAAATTCGTTTTTCGTCTTAAATAAGAAGCACGAACAGATACGCTTTTCGCGTAAGAAAAGTGTTTCTTGGTCTGAACTTGATCGTTCTGATAATCTGTTGATCATAGATATAAGATGTAGATGGGCACTATTATTCTTATCACCTACATGATCTTATTGCATTGTAGACTACCCAATTAACATCATAAGCTTGACCAATTAACAGAAGGATAAAAGGAGACCTCCATCCGTACAAGCTCTTCAAAGCTAGACAAAACCGTTTACTTAAAACTTCAAATATTTAATCCCACGCTGGTTGGGGAGGAGAACGAAATACCCTTATAAGGGTGTAGAAACCTCTCTCTACCATACGCGTTTTAAAGGCCTGAGGGAAAGCCCAAAGAGGACAATATCTATTAGCGGTGGGCTTGAACCGTTACAAATGATATTAGAGCCAGGTTAGGCTGTTTTCCGAAGGGGGTAGATACGAGGCTATGTGCCAGCAAGGATGTTGGGCCCGAAGGGGGATGAATTTGGTGGGGGTCCCACATCGATTGAAGAAAGGAACGAGTGCCAGCGAGGACGCTTGGCTCTGAAGGGGGGTGAATTGTGATATCTCAAATCGGTTGGGGAGGAGAACGGAACACCCTTTTAAGTGTGTGAAAACCTTTCCCTAGTAGACGCGTTTTAAAGCCTTGAGGGAAAGCTCGAAAGGGAAAGCCCGAAGAGGACAATATCTGCTAGTGATGGGCTTAGGCCGTTACATCAAATAACTAGAACTAAAAAATCATTAGAAAGGTCGGAAGTAGCTAAGGCTTACTGCATTAAATGTGCTAATTTCCTCACTAGTGGACACTGGTAGACGTCTTCTTAAAAAACCTCCTTTTTCATCTCAATATCATGTCCCAATGATCTTGATCATCGTGCGTTGAACGCCAACTTCATATATGGTGGATATATGGTGGATACCAAGCATTTCTCTTGAGAATCCTTACATCGTGCGTTGAACGCCAACTTAAACCCAAGCAACCCGAGAAACATGGCATTTGTTTATTATCTCAATGATAGTTTGTCTAATTTTAGGGCCTTGGTAACCTCCTTTGGCTTGGGGTTGGCTCTCCTCCTTTTTTATTGTATATTTCATTGATCTATGAAATAACTCTGTTTCTAGAAAAAAAGAGAAAAAACTTGGAACTTGCTACAGATACTGTGAGAGAATGGAAAGTGAACTATTTAAATGCTATTGGTCCTTATATCACTCAAACAAACTCATCTTTTGCGGCATATGGTGTTTTAATAGGATTATTTTGGTATACGTAAATGGCGATGATAAATAATTCCGATGTTTTTCCCTTTTTGTTTTAACGATCGAATTTCATAGAGTTCGAAGGGCGATGATTACTGATCTTTGTGGAATAGTTGGTTGGATTGGATTGACAAACTATCTGTAGTCCTTTTTCTGAGATGACTGATGAGAAGCTAATAGTTTTTGTTTCTTCATAAATGTACCAATCGTCTTGTTTATAGGTTTGAGCCTGATATGCTAGCCTTTTCTGGATGTTACTACGGAGGAGGTGAAAAGGAAAGGCGTGAACTGGGTGAAATTAGGAAGCGATGGGAAACGTTACCTGTGAGTAGTATTCCGTAGAACTCTGTATATTTGGACATGTACGATCGATCAGCAATTAGCGAGTGGCTGTGCGTAAAATTTCTGTTTTGCTTTACAGGATGTAAGTGAAGAGGAGGAAAGGAAGAGAGGGAAATGCCCACTTACTCCCTACGAGGTCGGTCTGATGCTACGAGCACTTGGTTTTAGAAACGACACTTATATTTATGTTGCGTCTGGTGAAATATATGGTGGAGAAGAAACTCTGAAGCCTCTTAGAGAACTTTTCCCAAATTTCTATACCAAGGAGATGCTTGTTAATGCAGAGCTGAAACCCTTTCTTTCATACTCTTCCCGTCTTGCTGCCATTGACTACATCGTATGCAACGAGAGTAACGTATTTGTCACTAATAATAACGGAAACATGGCGAAGATTCTTGCTGGCGAAAGGTACAAACTTATTCTTTTCTATATTCGCGCCATCATTATCAAGAATGAGATTGCTTTACTTATTAGCTAGAGTTTAAAAAGGCGGTCTGTTTCGATTCATATGCAAACTGTCGATACCCGAAATGGACCGTCCAAGAATGTAGTTGAGCATTCTTTAAGAATTATGGTAGGATGGCTTGAAATGTCCAGATTCTTATAGCTTTTTGTAGAAGGAATTACTGTAGTGGTTCTAGCAATCAGCCATCGGTAACAAGAGGCGCTTTCGCAACTTTTGTTCTAAGAAATAACCGAGCGTCTACAACCTTTGTTCATTCCATCTCGACTTGCTAACACAGAGCCATGATTTGTGCATTTTAGGAGGTATTCAGGTCATAAGAGGACGATTAGGCCAAATGCAAAAAGACTGAGCGCTTTGTTCATGGAAAGGAACAAGATGGATTGGGAGACATTCGCCAGAAAGGTGAAGACTTGCCAACGAGGGTTCATGGGTGAGCCTGATGACTTGAAACGTGGTAAAGAATTTCATGAATTTCCTGATTCCTGTATTTGTGAGAAACCTTCCCATCAAAAAATTAAAGAAGATGAAGGCAACAATCACCATGATTTGCAAAAGGAATAGTGGAAAACAGAAGCTTGGTGGAGTCCAAATATGTGTATGGGGGCAATTTTCGTCATGCCGACCCTATCGATGTTATATGAAGTTCGATCACCCCTGTCGTCTTCGTCCCATGGTATAGGAAGTTTGATCAATTGTTCATAACTTAGTTCTTTTTCCATAATATCGAGTATGTATAGATGTGTAGTTCTGTCTAAAACGTGCTGCTTTTGCTTCTGCTGCTGCTGCTCTAGTCTCTTATGCGCAAGCTAACACCCGCTGCCCCCTCCTGATTCGTTTTATTAGTTTGTCGAATTATGATATATGAGCTGAACCTACGAGGCGCTATGACTGCATACAGTTCGAATCGACAACGTGCTCGATAAAGACAGCCGAATTGATGCCAGTGTTACTGACTCCATGTGATTGAGCCTGTTACTATTTGTGAGCCTAAGGCAATATTGTTATTTTTATCTTTGTTTCTCATCTCAATGTAACTTGTAGCTTTAGAAGTTTTTTTCTGTTTACATGCAAACATAATGGATCATTTTAGTTTGCCTAGTTATGGTTTCTAAATTGGTGGATGAATGTTGCAGCCAAACCCATAACTCGGTATTCAAGCTTGCAGGAAATTAAGCCGTAGATCGGGTTGGTTTGGATACGGGCGTTCATGTGTTGAGTTGAGTCGGATTTGAATATTTTCTAGATTCAACTCAATTGTTTGGGTCTAACCTACCCCAATCATAAAATATAAAGTTTAGGGTTGAGTTAGCTCCCGTCGAGTTCATTTATTAAAAATAATAATAATAAATGTTAAGACTTTTAATATTCGGATAATGTGTATCATATCATTAGTATAAGTGCTTATTTTAAAATAATAATAAATTTGGGTCGCTTTGGTTTAACTCCCTGTCACAATCGCACTCTTGATGACAGCGGACTTGCAATTGTGCAGCACTCACTTTCCAACGACAGGCACTACAGCCAAGCGACATACTCAAGCCTCTAGTCTCGATTTAAGAAGTTAATTTAAGAAGTTTGAGAATACAAAGGTAGAGACATTTTTGAAAGATAGATTTTGAAGAGTAACGACAACACTACAGCCAAGCGACATACTCAAGCCTCTAGAAGAAGTTTTAGAATACAAAGGTAGAGAGATTTTTGAAGGATAGATTTTGAAGAGAGTAATGACAACAGCTTACCGTATATAACTTTTGGTTGAGAGACCAAAATTTAAAGAAATTCATGCATAAATTTTTTTTTTGTTTATATTCGAGCAAATTCAAATAAATTTGTAACCCATCCTAAACTGTAAGATTGGGTTAATCGAATTTAAAACACTCCCAGATTTGGAAACTTTTGTTATATAGTTTTGCAAATAAAATCATGAATCATGAAAAGCTAAGGAAAAAAATGATAAGATTGGTAAAATATAATCTAATTTTCCACTTATTATCCGAACTGTAAAAGCAATTAATCGCATTGAATTTCTAAAAAAAAAATATTATTATGTTCTAACAAATTATTTGATACCAAATTCAAAATTAAGAAAAAATATTGCATAAAGCCAAACCAACCTTTACATTTCTGAAGAAGAAAATACATATAATATAAACAAGGGAAAAAGAACAGGAAAAGAAGAGTATTGTAGCAAATATTACTCCTTGTTCCAACCTGTTCAATGAAAACAAGTTTTGGGCAGTACCTGAACCTTCCGACCGACCGCCTTCTTCGAGTGCAATCGACAGTATCAATAACGAGAGGGTAAACAGTAACAATTTCTAGTTAACTCCGAAAGGGAACGAAGCGGAGTAGAAGCTTCGATTCTGAAAGCATGCAACACTGAAGTGATATATATATAGAGAGAGATCATGGGGGTAGGGGGGATGATGACATGTATGGATAATAACCAAACTACCTTCTTTTGAATTTCAAGACCAACCTACAAGAAGAGTTTCAATATACATCCTGTTATGGCATAGGAGAGAGATTGAGAGAACACAAATGTGAGGAGGGAACTTCAATCAATATGAACAACTAAAGCTAAACTTGTAGGAGTATAACTAAGGAAGCAAGAGTTTCCCTTTTTCCTACATTTATCTATATAGTAAATACAACAATATAAACTACTGTTAAGTCACATTAATTATCTGCAGAGGATGTTTCTTCCTGGGCCTAAAACCCCAAGTTCGCAATAAGCCCCCCCCTTAGATTTTGTTCCCTGTTACAGAATCAAGTAATGAAAGTTTTGTCATGATGTAACGTAAATTTGAGGCGAAATTCCGAAGTGAATTAGGCACACATCAGTTCCTACCTCTAGATGCATTCCTGTTCTGGCTTCGTTGACCTTTATCGTGTGAAATAGAAGGAATCTTCGAGATTGTCAATGAGCTTTGTAGTCCCTCTAATAACTGCAAAACCAAGATTCGGAATGCACGTGCACATTACATAACGTATACGAGGGTACACCAACAAGAATGACAAACAAACAGTTGATTGAAGTTCTCTTATCAAAGACTTACTCTTGAGGTAGGCTGAATACGGCGGTTGGATCTCCGTGGCTCAGTAACATTAGAATTTGGTTTGGTAGGATTCCCATTGAAAACCTCTTTTTCCTCGATTTTTGCCAATTTCCCAACTGCAGGAGCAAGTTTTCCTTTATTTGCTCGTTCCAGCTTCGTGTGAAATGAGGATGTTTTCTTGGAAGCGTGTGCTGGAGGAAATACGACTGAGCCCTCTGGTGCTTCTTCAGTGCTGCAGAAAGAAGGAACGTCTATTTGGTTGTTCTTCGTCGAAGCGCTCTCATTCTGGCTTTCAGAATCCTTGGTAATAACTGCATGATCTTTTGCCAAAGAATTAACATCAGCAGAAACATTTGCAAAAAGTATTTCGTTCTGCAAAATAGTCTTACCTGACATACTTGGTTGCTTTCCGGACTTCACAGCCATGGGTTTCACAGCGTTTGCAGATTTTTCCTTCGTTTCATATTTTGAAGTTCTTTTTAATCCTTTGGATGTAGATCCTTGCGGCATCAAATACTTAGCCAACTTAGTTGAATCATTTGCTTTAGTAGTTCGAGTGTCTGCATCATAATGTTTGCTCACTTCCATAAATTTTCTCTTTTTTCCAGGTTTGGGAACACCAATAACCACTCTCGATGTGCCCTTCTGTAGACCAGTCCAACTGGTTTTTAATGGATTAGACCTGTTCTCAGTTTGAGTATTCCTACCAATATTGAATACTTTCTCATTTGCTGATAAAAAAAGCGAACTCTGGTCTGCTGGTTTGGCCGACTCGACATCCTCCACAATCGTTGGCATTTTATCCTTCCTTTTAACCTCTACAGCTGGACTGCCCAACTTCATACGTTTTTCCTGAGGCACAACAATCTGAATGCAATTGCAACTAAGCATATTTCAACAGAGTATGAACATAGAATCAGAGAAACAAACAAAAGTGTAGTATGGACCTCATGAGAATAATCATTTACATATGAGCCAGACAACTCAAACCATTCCCCATCTTTCCATATGAGAGATGGTCGGAGATTCCAAGCTTTGATAGTGGACGTTTCACCTCGATCTGCAAGAAAAACCATATGTTGATTAATTTATGAAAAAACACAATCTACATAGAAAAAGGTCAGTTGAACTCTGAATCTTAGTGACATGCCTGGAAAGCGGACAATATATGTTGCTTCATCTTTTGCGTCCTTCTCAACGACCACTCCTTCATGCCAGCTGGGAAACATATAAGCAAGCACAAGATTACGGATCAAATTTGGGGATCAAGATGGCACCAACTCGCAAAATCTTTCATCTTATAACAGTGTAGCAGTTGAAACTACTTAGGTAAGTGGCTAACCCTTATAACAGTGAAAATGTTGTGTAGCTACTTGGTCTCAAACCTATGTAAGGACTCAACTTCATTTGAATTAGATGATGGCAAGATAACAAAGGATTAGCATCATGGTTCTTGATCAACCCTAATGCAAAATGACTTGGAAAGTTGAGTATCCCAAGGATGTAAAGGTTTTCCCCATGTTTGATTTGGGAAGGGTGAATGCTCAAGAAAAACTCCCAGATTAGAAACCCTTCCACTCCTTTCTTCCAAACTGATGCTTGCAAAAGGGGTAACGCTGAAATCTCTTTGTTTGATACTCTTTCTTTCTCTAAGATCGCGATGGAATCCTTTCAATAACTATGGTTGTACAAGATTTTGAAGAACATCCAGAAAGTATTGTGTGGTTATCAATAAAAATACAGTTCTTTAAAACATGATTTGCACTGTTCTGAAGGAGACTAGGATACAAAAGTATAGGGGAGTTCTCCAAAAGATAGGTATGTCGGGGATCTATGTGATACTCGATGGCTTCGGACAGGAATATATCCATTCCCTCCTCACTGTATATTTCCTTGCTTAATGAACATTGTTTTCAATAATTAATAAAAAAAGAAAGAAAGAATAGAATATAAAAAATAACAATAAAAAGCACAAAAAGAAAACCACACCTATTCTGCATCCAAGCATCAACTCTGTCTCCAACCGACCAGATATAGTCCCCAATAGCTGCACGGCGTCTCTTCCTTGTTCCTTCATTCTGCAAGGTAGTCATAGGACGAGAAATTCGTATTCTCGGTGCCATACCCCCTTGACCATCGAGTGCAACCCACTCCTTTAGCTCACCTGGCCCTGCTCAAACCAAGAAAGTAAAATCGTCTGCAAAGTGAAGACAAGAACTTGTATGTTTTTAGAGCTTAATATACTCTCATTTTAATAGGAGCATTGTATACAATCATGAACTAATTTATGGACCATAAGCTGATAAAAATAGTTTAACTGCAGCTTCTCTTGCAAGCAAGAACCAAATAGTACTCATTAGTCAATCTCAAGTTACAAAAGCATAATGATTAGACCATCATCTTATATCGTATGTTTGGCTTGTCATTACCTTCTTCAGATTGAAGTTCAGTGTAGGAAACGTAAGCTTGCCCTTCCTTCAAACTCAGCACAACGGCTGTGAACCAAGATGCTTTTAATCCATTCCCATCCTTAAAAACCTAATTCATGACCAACAAGGTTAATACAAGATCAAGGGTCAGAAAACACCAATAAATGATCGGTAAATAGTGAGAATAATGAGAATAATGAAAATTGATCAGTCTGGTGACACACTCGAGGGATTCAAAAAGAAGCAGAAAAGTCCCATCGAATTTTTCTAAACCTTAAATCTACTTTCATCTTTATCGTAGGGAAGATTCTCTTTTCCTTCGATGAGAAACATGTATCCTTCATTTAATTGTTAAAGTTTAATTTTTCTAGGGCCCCCTTTCACTCTGGCGTTGCTGCTGCCCTTCCTTAAATTTTAGAGAGGATTCTTCTCGGTCTTTGTGTTCCAGTTTGGAGTTCTGCTGGCTTCTCAGCTTTTGAATGCTGTTTCAGTGGGCTGCGTTTGATTTTGCTCCAGCTTGGCTTTCAACTTTTGTTTGAGCCTGCTCTTAGTGTTGTTCTGTAGTTTGTTTCTTTTGTTTAAAGAAGCTTCTAGTTTTGTTTGTTACAGCTTGTTCATCTCTCTCTCTCTCTTTTTTTTTTTGTTGGTTCTTTTGGTTCTTGTTTTATTATTTCCCTTTGGGGGATTATATCCCCGAACATTTTTTCTTTCTGTTTATCAACCAATAAAACATGTTTCTTGTTAAAATAAAAATGATCAGAAAATGCAGGTGCATACATATAAGCATTTGAATTCCACGTTAGTACTCCTCATGGCATCAGCAGCACAAAAGAAGTAAACAGAATAAAGATCAACAATGGAGAGATAGTAAAACTATATAAAATAATCTCATACCTCAACATGGGAACCTTCCCTGATGCTACTTTGTCTTGAATCCTTGGCCTTTTCACACTCATCCTGGGAGGATCTTTCGCCTACTTCAGATTCTGGAACAACACCAATGGTTTTTGTCAGATCAGAAGCAATTTGGTCCTTCTGTCCTCCCAGATCCTTCTCACGAGGTGCTACACAACTTGTCATGCCGTCAACCAATCTGGGATGGTTCTCAACAGCGCCCATAGACATTTCTCCAGGAATAGATGACTTGGTACTGGCACTTACCTGAATTTCATTCTTACCTGACGATCCATCTCTATGACGCTTAATAGCTGAATTGGAACGTCCTCCATTAACATCGTCTGATCTCATAACCACATCAGAAGATACTTGAGGACTTTTCCAATAACCCTCTGGACCAGCTTCCACTAACTTACTCAAGGGAGGAGGATCGCCCATAGCAACTAACTTTCCAGCTTGTGACACAGCTGCTGCTGCCAGTTCGGCAGCTTTGACAATGGCATCTACATTTTCAGCATGCTTAGAAGCTGCAGATGCAGCTTCAACCCTTTTTCTAGCTGCCTCCCTTGCGGCAACAATAATAGAACTGGAACCATTTCCTCCATCTTCGCCCCTCAAGATGGAGGCTGGAGTGGCCTTCCCTACACCAACAGCACTAGTATGAACAGAAATTTCATTGCTTGGACAGGAGATCTCATGGCTAGATGAAGTCAATGCCTCATCAGCAATCAACTTTACTTGGAATGCAGCATTTGATGCCACACTGGCGGCGGCGGCCGCAGCCCTTGCAACAGTAGCAGCTGCTGCTATAGCAACAGCTGCCGAAGCTAGTTTAGCTTCTACGTCTGATACTAATTCTGAATTCTTCTGCCTGTTCAATTGACTCCACATTTCTGCACTGTGTTTAACAGCTTCAGATGCAAACAGTGCAGCATCCTCAGCCAGTTGCTTAGCCTCCCTAACCTTGCCAAGTGTTTCCTCTGAAAACATAGCTCTCCCTGTCAAATCTTGATCTGCAGTCATTGGGTGAGTAGTCGGACACAGTGGAGGAGCAGATAAAATCAAACTCTCAGAAACTGCCTTAGGGTGTACAGATGGAGATGTTGCAAGAGTAGAAATTGCAGGTGTAACTACAGCTGAAACTGGTTTTAAATGAGGTTGAACCTGCATAGTTATAAGGCCAGGATCCTCAGAAACTGTAGTCTTCTTTCTTCTTCTCATTTTTGATTCAGTGGAATTTTGCCCCGTGGTTGCTGATGCCTTTTTTAACTCAAGCAGGGGGGCAGCCCCAGGAAATACATTACCAGGAGTTCCACCGTGAACCATAGAACCAGAGGGCTTCACGGCAGAGGATTGTGGCACAGATGATTCCTTCAATGGTGTTAAATGAACTGGCTCAGTAATTGGCAAACCAGAAAATCGTGCACTGGAGTCGGGTGTCGAAGTCTGAGTAGCAACCCAGGTACTGTGGAATGGAGCCTGAGAAAACCATGAAAGATTATGACCAATAAAATTCCTGACAGGAGGAGTCTGATATGGATGCAACGGAGTAAGTGCTTGTGGATAGTCTATGACTGGACTTCGAGGCATAATACTAGATTGCAGAGCATTGGAAGGTGTGGAAATACTCCAGAGTGGTGAGGAAAGAGGGATCATAGGATTTATCACTGTTGATGTACTCTTACTGCTAACTCGACTAACTGAAGCAGATATAGTTTTACTTTGTAGTGTACTTTGTTTATTTGCTTGCTCATTACTCCTACTACCTACAGAACAAATTTTCAAATTCAAAACGAGAGAGCGAGAGAGAGAGAGAAAGAGAAAGAGAGAGAGAGAGATAAGCCTAGAAATGAATAAAATGCTTCAAAGTACCGGATTGTGATTGCGATGGTGTCTCTGGCTGAGATTTTTTTCCATGAAACCTGTCTACACACATACGCCAGGCATTCTCCCAAAGGTTTGTTCCACCATCTGAAATTTAAAAATCACACAAATAAAGAAAAAACGGCATCCATATGGTGAATCATAATGAATGATAGGGGGGAAATTTTACCAGTTCCTCCAAATGCAGACAACATGTACGCCTCATCTGGTGCTGTACCTTGACTGCAGCAACGATTAAATCCATAAAAAACACTTAGTAGAAAGGAGCTCCATTGTTTTCTTTGGCAAAAAAAAAAAAAAAACGAAAAAGAAGAAGAAAAAGAAAGAGGAGCTCAACAAAAGGAACTACACGAGAAATTTTTTGTGCCTTGCTCAAAGGAATGAAGTGCCTTTTTGCTGTCTACCTATGTTTTTTTATAGGACAAGACTTCCTCTATAACTTTTCAAGAGTAATGAAAGGTGGAAAATTGCAATGATTTTCAGTTCTGACACTAACGCCTCTGAACATATACATGCAACTGAAGAGAAAGCTATAGTTTCATTCGATTGTTTTAAGGACCAGAAGAATAAATGGACTCACATCAAAGCTCCATAAACAAAAATCTGAGCACGCAGTTGAACTTGCTGCAAGTCTGTGAAAGGCTGTTGAAACATTGTAGATGGGGAGGCAGAATTGTTCAAGTCTGGAATGCTAGAAGTCGAAGCACCAATAAAGACAAATGGTTTTGCACCACTGGACTCCACATGTCCATGATGTTGCATCTCATTGGACAGTGCAAGCTGGAAAACTCCAGGATTGCTTATGGGTGTACTGTTAGATTTCTCTACTTTCTCCGATTTCTTCAAATTTCCCTTTGTAGACGACGCTCTCCCCAATCCTACGACAGAAGCACGCCTAGGTTTACGCTCAGGAGTGCTCTTGGAACGAGCACGTGAAACTTTTACCTCAGACACCTGAGGGCTACTGTGTGAAATACCCTGAGCACTCTTGGCGTCCAATTTGGATCGGCCAGAAGATGATTGGGGTCCCTCCACAACCTTCAATCAAAATAATCCACAATATAAAGAGTGAAATATGTTGTATTCTTTCTTTTCTTTTCTTTTCTTTTTCTCTCAATGAAAGTTCATTCATTCATTAACAAAGACAAAATAAAATAAATAAATAAATAAATAATGGAGCGTGAAAAAGATAAATAAATATTTTCCCATGAACAGGATGATAATATGAAGGAAAAATAAGATAAAATCTAACGGAACCAATGACATGAAGGAAAAGAATCACCGAAGAAGCATTAGCTGCTGATGCAACTGGATTGCCAGAATCACTTTTTGGCAGATCTACCAATGAACTGGACTCAAAGGTAAGAACTGTCTCACTTTCAGAGGCACCATTTCCTTTGGGTAACTGGGAACCAGACGATGCATTGCCAACCAGCCTACCCTTGGGCTCTGCAGCTTCAACATTCTTACTCAATGGCCCCTTATTGCAATATTTTTCATCTGGATCAAGAGCAACCACAGTAGTTTTGACAACATCGGGTACATTAGGAGGAGGCTTATCAGCAGTAGAATTACCATTACCCATCACAGACGTCAGTTCATGAGATTCTGGAACAGCTGCAGAGCATAATGCACTTTCCTTTTTGACAGCATCACCTGCAATCGAGTAGTAGGAGAAAAATCAAGTTTGAAAAAAATTTGGAAAATGTATACAAGACATCTCCAACACCACCATAAAAACAAGAAAATATCATTCGATTTCACTTCATCTTGAGGAAAGACTAAATGCCATTTCTTATGTTTCTGCAAATGTACAAAATGTAATCTTCCACATGCAAGTTCTTTTCCAGCAATTTATATTGCAAAGAGCAATCAACAAAAGCAATCCACGATTTCTGTACAAAATGATAAAAATAATGAACTGAAAACGCAAGAGTATAAGGTTAAATCTGACAATTTCAATCTAAGTCAAGTTACATTTTTTATGTTCTTAAGAAACATCTTTTATTGATAAAAATGAAAGAAGATCAGGAATCAATACAATAACACTACTAATTGGAAATCTTTTCAGGAAAAAAAAAATCTCAAAGGGTTTGTTACAATCACACCTCAAACTTTTAATTTGAGAAATTTATGATACCATTGCAATCCAGCCCTATAGTAATAATAACAGTTATCATTATTGTTGTTGTTGTTGTTATTATTGGATAAGAAACTGAACTTTTATTGGAGAAAGAAGCGCATAAAAAAGGAGGTGAATGAGGAAAATTATTGAACGAGGTAGCCATAGTGAAGCTACCACATAATAATCTTTGATTAAGATTTAATATTCAATGATTAAAGTTTTTAATCAATCGATTAAGAAAAATCTTGTTTAACATTTGTTTCTAGAATGGTGTCCACATGGTAGTTGGTGTAGAACTGCTTATTGTTTATCAAACTAGTTCGAAGGAATGGAAACTGTGGGGAAGTTTAATGGCGCTTGTAATAGTTATATTTAAAAGGATAAATTGCATCTATAACTCAACTATGATGATGGTTACTGTTGCACCACAAACTCTTGATTTAAAAATTAAATCCTCAATCTTGCATAAATGTAAAAGTCATGTATTTTCATCAACCATTGTTAAAAATGCCAATGGATGTGAGAGAAACGTCTCCTTTGCCATCCCTCTCTATCATATTCCTCCCTCTGTAGGACTTTTTCTCTCTACCGCTTTCTTCTCTCTACAAAGTCTTCTTTCTCCTCTTTTAACACCTCTCCTTTCTAAACAAGGTCTCTCTTTTCTCTTTAACATACTCATCTCTCTCTAGAAAGTATATTACAAAGGTTGGGTTCCGATTTTCAGTTTGATTCGGTTCACTGGTTCAGAAAATAAAAATCCTGGTTTAAAAACTAATGTGTATATATATATAGTTTGTTTCTTTACACATCTCAATGTAAAACCCACTTTCTTTTCTCTTTTCTTCTACAGCCCTTCTCTCTCTTTACAACCCCTCTCTCCTTCTCTCCTCTCTTTGGTAACCCATCTTTCCCTTTCTCTCCCTCTCCCTCCTCTCATTTGTAGACCATCTACAGTACACTAACGGCAACATCGCCATTCAGTCCAACCATGAGCCACCTTGCACCCGTCCATCAATTCAAGTATTAAAACCTAAAGACCCAACCCACCCACTCTACTCAGGTTGGTGGGTCGAGGAACCAACCAACCCAAAAATTTAAGTAGGTCTCAACAAAAATGCCACTTATCCAACTCAACTTGTGTTACATCTCTATAAAATAGATAGCCAACTCAAAGGTTAAAGCATTATCACCTCAATAAACCAAAGGTTTGAATCCTCATCTCCATGTATAGTTAAACTTGAAAAAGAATAGATAAAATGGATAGAGAGGGGTACAGTATTGTGAACTCAAATTATTAAATAACAATAATAAAATAAATAAATAAACCCAAAAGGGAAGAAAACAAGGCATGCTGCAAGATATCCGCATAGAAATCCTAGTGGGAAATATGAAAGACAAATTTTTATGGCCGAATATAACACTTCAATCATGAATGAACAAGAAATAAACAGCATGAGCAGAAGTTGCTAGCTGAAACAGGAAATTTAACACCAAAGTCAACATTCAAACTTCAATAACAAATAAATCAAATAATTTAGCGTAACATATTATTCCACGTGCATTTAGAAATTGTATAATTTGGTTACTCACTGTCAGTGCTCACTGCAATAGCCTGCTGACAATTATTTCCCACAGATTCTGAAACAACTTTAGTACTTTCCTGATCTTTCTGATAATTATTGAGTGTTTCTCCTGGCGGTGGAGTTAAAGACAACGCATCAAGCGGAAAAGCTTTTACATCTAAAGAAAAAAATCATTTAACAACTTGATCGTTAGAAACATGGAAAAGATCCACTGACATAATTATGCAAGCTAAGTGGTCCAAACCAACATTCTTAATAAATTCAAATGTCGTGGATTAAAGATTCTAAACAGAAGGTAAATCAGATAACTACTGGTAGTACAATACATTGTCATTTAAAAAATAAAACCATTTTCAATCAGCAGAGTTCTACAGGTGAATTGAAATCATCGTTGCATCAAAAGGGCATCATTAGCTTGTAATTATCCATAATGAAAAATGACAGCAGAAGAAGGCAGCTGCCGCGCACTGAGGCTATAAGATACATGGGAATTACGTGATAATATTTATGTACAAGGCTATTGTCTTTGATTATTTACGTTGTGGCATTTTAAATCTGTAGAAAGCTGAGAATACAATACAGTACCAAAGGAATACGTCCAGGTTTCAGACAAGAGTTCACAAGCCTTAACACACCAAAAAGAAAAAAGAAAAAAACTCTGATAAAATCTAGGAAGAGTAATAGTCTATAAAGAAAAATTAAATCTAACTCAACTAGGAAACTTATCGGTTAATACTTATTAGATTGAAGTTAAGCATATCCAGTTACGAATTAATCAAGATGAGGTTCTCAAGACATGACTTCTACTTCAATCCATTCTCTTTCTTTCCTTCAAAACAAAATGTAGGAAGGCTTGGGCAGAAATAAATTAAAGAAAAATATTAAAACCACTTCAGTCATTAATAAATAAATTTAAAATTTAATATCACTAAGACAATTCAAACGTTTTAACTAAATTGAAAGTTCAAACTGGCTCACCTGACTGTTCAACACCGTTATCAGTTGACTTCGAAAAAGCTGAATCAACGTCCATTTCCTGTCTGCAGTCCTGGATAACATTATTAGGAACATCTGCTTGAGGTGTAGATTGGCTTTCTGTGTTGCAGCCCTCAGTGTTCAAATCCTTTGAAATAGATTGATCGATACTTTCACCTAATCCCTGGCCAGTAATGACATGAGCGGATTTTTCAGCTTGAGAAACAGGATGAAATAGCGCCACAGGTTGAGAAGTATCCAACAGAGGAGGTCTTCCTTCAGCAGGAATCATCACACCACTTTCTTCTTTGCTATCGGATTGGGTAGACTCCACCAGAGCAGGTTGCAACTGGTCCTCTTTGTCATCAGCGTCTTTTCTGTTTGTCAAAGCATCAACCGGAGGTAAGGACTCACCCTGTAATGTGCCACATGTTTTCACATTGACATCCTCAAAGGTAGCCACTGATGTGCCACATACTGCCTCAGTAGCATCGTCAAGGGAAGACACTGATGTACCACATACTGCCTCAGTAACGTCGTCAAAGGCAGAAACCGATACTGCAATCATAGGAAAAGGGAGAAAATAAAAGTAGCTGGCTCAGCATGCATACCTTGAAAACAAAAGTGAAGCATAACTACATGATCTTTAGAACATCCCCAAAAATTACATTCGAACATCACATACCTGATTCATCACCGGTATTAGCACTGTACTCTAATTTTGTATTTATCATCCCACTTTCTACACCACTCTCTTGAAAAGACAAGGATATGATTCTCTTATCTGCGACAGGAGACTCAGCAATCTTGCCATCCACACTAAGAGAATCAGACGACAACATCCCTCCTTCCTTTCCACTGGCGTGCTCAGCATGGACATTAGCAGGCTGACACAATTTATTATCTTCACATAATTGTGTTGACTCAGCCACAGTGGTAGGTGGCAAATGGCCTTCAGAATACAAGTCTTCCGAGGGAAGTGTACCCTTAGGAAATTTATCAGGAATATCTCTGATATGACCACTGATGCTTTCACCAACCTTGGAGGCATCATTTTCCTCCATAGCAGATGCAGAATACTCGGACTTACTAGTTTGTATCTCAATGCCCGAGGGAAAATGCTGCTGATCTTCAATAATTATTTCCTGTGCACAAGCCATCTGCTCAACTGAATCACTCTTAGGCCCTTGAAAGGCACAAACTTCAGCATTAATGTTTCTCGCCTCACCTGCACACGCCTCAGATCTAGCCTCACCTTTAACAACCGTAGGTAATACCTCATGCATGTTTGCTTCAGACGGATTCCCAATCTCCACATTTGTACACAAAACCTTATCATCAAACTTGCCACTTTCAGCAGGAACTTCCGACGTAACCTCACCACTACCTGAATGGAATACACAATCCCCCTTCAAGGTCATACTTGCATGGGACTGCAAATTAGCAATACTAGAATCGATCACCAAACTTTCTGTAGCAACTGAGGGTGATAAAAGAGGGCTTTGGTCATCTTTACTCAACTCGTGTGAATTGACCACTTGGTCAGTGTTCTCAATATATGTATTAACTGGATTCTCACATAGATCTTTTATTTTCTGTTCAATCTTCTGGTTGCTCAATTTTTCACTGCCTTCATGCGTGCAAGTAACCAAATCATTTATATGCTTTCCTGAATCAGAAAAACCATCTTGCCCTTTATCTTCCAAGGATATGGCAGCTGAAGTTTCGGTTGTACTTGGACATGTTTGCTTACTGTTTTCATCAATACCAGGACTTCCCTCACTTGCTGGCACGTCTACAAGTTCATGAGCGACACCAGGATCAACGTTGCCTAAACTTCTATCAACAGTCTGAGCCTCTTGAAACTCAGTAGGATCAATCCTTTGAAGCTGTTGTTGCTCCCCTCCTATGTCCTCATTAACAACATGAAATTCCTCAAGATTTATATCTGGTAAATCGCCCATTTCACAGAAACTACTACCGTCATCTTTTAAAGTAGGGTCCATTGGATTTGTTAAGAAGTCCAATTTTTCACGAGCATTTGACTCCCCGGTAACTGTTGGTGCCAGATTGATATCTTCCTGCCCAACGGATTTCAATAACATTTCAACAGATTCAGAGGAAGTGGCCTCAGACCAAACATTTTTCCGTCTCAATATAGAACAAGATTCTGCTGCACAAGAACTAAACCCTATTCCACTACTTCCACGAGAATAATCTTCAATCCACTGATTATCTTCGTTGTTCTCAATACCTAAGAAGACCTCAGGTTCAACCAAGCTATCAAATCTTACATGCCCTTGAAGGGTATCATCAAAATCAAACTTTGGGAGAGCATATTGCCGAACAACAGGAGGAAATTTGGCACTTCCTTCACCAGCTAAATGAAGATTCTGGCTTTGAAAGTCATTGTCGTCATAATCCATGGGTTTATCTCTGCTTTAGAAATGGTTGGGAAAAAGAAAATTAAGAGAAAGGGTAGTTACTGTGCTAATAACCTTTTCCAAATTCATTATAACTATGATTTGTACCTAATTAGTTTAACCTAGAAAATTGTTCGTTGATGCGACACGTGGGTCGCAGTTACCGTCCCGAGTACACATATCAATAGGCCATATACTCTCAAAGAAAAGTTCATGAATAGAAGAATTAGTAAGAAAAAAAAAACTCCCCCAAACCCCCATATTCACATAGTTGCCGGGTTCGAACCCAACATTCCTCGACATTTGCATTCGGCATGTATCAAGAACCCACACCAAAGTATCAACAATTAATGAAAAAAAAAACTAACCTCATGATAACTTCAGAGAACATCCTCTAGAAGTTTATTAAAGAAAATCCAGCCTAATAGCTCATCGATTCAAAGCAGACTAAAACACATACTCACTATAAACAATTGCAAAAGAATAATAATAATAAATAAATAAATCATATGATAAACAACCCAGAAGAATATTTTGAAAACAAAAAGGAAATGAACAGTACCAGAAGAAGTAAGTGTAGAGACGCTACCTCCCTCCATCCGGTGATGAAAACCAACCCGTTTGATCTCAGCTATTCCCTTGTCTCGCAGTCATCTACTGCTTCAAACAAAAACCCTAACCTTCAGTGAGTCTCGACCGAACAACAAAGTATAAGCAGCCGCAACAATAACTCCTCAAACAGAAATAGAACAAGAAAGCCCTAACTACATTCAGCAAGAAATCCAATTGACTGAATAAGAGCTTGTCCGAGCATCAAAATTAGGGTTCCGAAAATCAACGGTGAGAACTGATGTCACAAGAGTGAGATGAAGACGAACAAACAGAGGAGAGAGAAATTGAGAGCTAGAGAGAGAGAGAGACGAAAAGAAGGAAAGCGTTGCGACCCTTTTTTCTTTTTTTTTCTTTTCTTTTTTTTTATAATTATAAATTTATTGTTTCATTTCATCAATCAAACAAAAAAATATATATAATTAAAAATTAACATGTGTACCAATACAAACAAGACACGTGGCACATTGATGCTTCCGGGAGAGGGTACATTTTTCGAGCTTAAGTACGGTTTTCTTAGACAAAAGAATATATAATAAAATAAAACTAACTTTTTCAATTTCAAAACAAATTAAAATATTTATTTCTTTTTACTCTTATATTTAATTTATTTTATTATATATCTTTTATTTATTTATTTATTTATTTTTATTTTTTAATAGCAAATACGATATAAGATTACAAAAATTACGAAAAAGACCTTACAAGTATTCGAGGAGAACGCTACATTTTAAAATTATGTATAAAAATATATAATACGTTCATTTTTATATTTTGTAAATATTTTTTTATGTAATAGAAAGTTTTTAAAATAATTAAATTTAAAATTTACGAGTAATAAGACACTTTTAATCGATGTTTGATGGGTCTTTAAAATAATAATATCATATTAGTTTGCAATTTTCTTTTAAATATGAATATTTTAAAATAAATAAGTAAACATCATTTATTATATAATTACATTTAATTAATTAAAAGATATCACTTTGACTGCGACTTAAATTCTAAACGATTTTTTATTTTATAGTCTAAGATTCGAAATATTATATTTGAATTTTTGCAACAAATTGACCATAGAAATTGAATATAATACACAATAATAAATCGCTATTAAATTTTAAAAAAGAAGTCTACGTGTTAAATGAGGCAAGTACATCCTATACTTCAATTGAGCTCGTGCCCACAATGCTCATTTGTCAAAGTTCAAAATATTTAATGTGTTTATAATTTAGTAGGTTAGGACGATAATAATTTTACTTTCAATTATATATTTAATGTGTATATATATATATATGTGTGTGTGTGTGTGTATGTATGTTATGTATGTAAGAACGATGATCGTAATGCTTCATGCTTAGGATTGGAATGATGATGGTGTCAACATTTCCGTGCAACATGGTCACGTTACTTACGAGTGAAGACTATCTTCATAGACCAACACAAGTTCTTATAACATGTTTTGTCGTCGTTCACATGCATATTATGAAATTTTTAAAGAGGTCACTCGACATAAAATCGTTCAAAGCAAAGCACGTTTTAACCTTGGAGTTTTTATGATCGAGTCAGCAAAAATGAAGGTGTACATTGTTGATATAAGTAGTAATTTTCAATTCACTTTAAGTGTTTTTTGTAGTCATTTTATCGTAATGATCGCTCTCATTTGAATGTAATATTAGTTCATTCATGTATCGCTCATTTACTTGGGTGTCACATGCTCGCAAGCTACCTATCGTAAGAGTATTATTGAAATTTTTTAAAATTATAGCGTGTTTTTTTTTTTTACCAAAATACGAAATTCAATGATATTTTCATTCAATATTCTTTTATTTTTATATTATTTACATTTGAAATACGTGAATTGTCTTGTTACAACGGCTCGAATAAGAGTGGTTACACGATAGAGTGGTATGTAATTTTATGCATGGGTATGATCTCATGTCGATCTAACAATTGAGACACGTTTGAATGAACAGTTTTTTTTTTCTTGTCCGCTACTAGTATTTAAGTTGAAGTGATTACACGATAACGTGACGTATCATTTCATGCATGGGTATTGTTTAGACTGTGAGTATGAAACTTCACGATCTAGCGGTAGAGATACGATTGAACGGATAATCACATCATCTACACTATTACAACTCTTTGAATCGAAATGGGCAGTGTCTCATGTATAGAAACAATCTATAAATCATCACGTTCTACCGATAAAGACATGTTTGAGAATATTTAAAGAAATGTCACAGCATTCATCCTAAACTTTATAAATGATGTAATATTTAGTTTAAAATTTGATTAAAGTTATAATTTTTTTTTAAAAATAAATTATAAAATACGGCATAAAACTGATGGAATTTAAGTAATTAAAAAATTCGCGAGTTTGAGAATATTTATTTTATGAATAATTATTTGTAATTTTAAATTTATTGAATTTTGTGAAATTTTAAAGATTTTTTTTAAAATCACATACATAATAATTTAATGAATAAAAATACTTGTAAATTTTACATTTTATTAAAAAATAATTATAAACTTTTAAAAAATTTAATAATACACTTAAACTTAAAAAAATATTTAAAAAATATAATTATAATTAATTTTTAATGAAAATTATCTGAACTTTCATATTTTCATTAATATCTTATTCTAATCTTCAGTAATAATATTAATTTTATTGTATTAATATTATTTTTTAAATTAAAAAATATTTTAAAGTTTTTGTTTTGTTTTGAAAAGTGTAAGAATATTTATGAAATTTTAGACAATAATTTTTTAAACATTTTTAAAAATCTAAAAAATATTTTTAAAATTAATGGTAAAAATATTTAAAAGAAAAAATAAAATACGCGGCTTACCAAAAAAAAAAAAAAAAAAAAAA